GTGGAATCTGGACCCCCAAACGAAAAATCGCCGGAACATCGATCTACTGTATGTAGAGTCATCCACGCATAAGTACAGTTGAGCGCAGCTCTCTCTTTCTTTCTCTCCCCCACCGTGCAGTGCATGCCCACCTCGAAACAAAAAAAGAAAGAAAAAGAAAAGAAAAAACCCCAGCTGCGGAATTAATTGGTCGTGAACGAATTGGATTGGATTGGATTGGATTGAATTCAATTGAATCGAAAAGCAAAACCAGAGTGCAGAAAGCAGAAAGGTAGACTGCGTTGCGGTGTGGCTAAGTAGGGCTGTATGCACAACATCCCGCATCTTCAGGAAAGCAAGAAATGGCGGTGGTGGTGGTGGTGGTGGTGGTGGTACATATGTAGTGGTGGAGGTGGTGGTCTCAATAGACCGCTGGGACTAAATGCTGACACAGCTGTGAGATTGCCCATGTCGCTCGCGCGAGCACTGCCTTCAATAAGGGAGGGAGACACACGAGAGAGAGAGAGAGAGTCCCACTCTCCCCGCCCTAATGCGTCATAACCCATGAGCGAGAGAGGAGAAAGAGAATAACAAGAAACGGTTTGCAGCGGCAGACCGGCGGCGGTGTGTGGGAAAACTCAATTGGAAAGACGAATGAACCCCCGAACCGCCAGAACCCTGTCATCATCGGGTATCACTCGGTCAGGAGGCCGAAATGCTCACCGGAGAGGGAGAGAGAGAGAGAGAGAGAATGCGCCTTCCAAGTACCTACCGGTATCCATCCGATCGATTATTTTTGCCCATGTGCCCATGCAATATGGAAGAGGTGCAAATCTCAGTAACTGAGTAAGTTCGGAGGTGGAGGACTCGATGGGAAAGAGATAGGTTCTACCTATGGTAGCGTGTCGTTCTGGGCCCGATCACCTGGCGGGCGAACCAACTACCTAGAGGAATCTAGAATTCGGGTTGATTGGGCGGTCTGCCTCGAGTAACTAGAGTATGCATGATAGGTATCTCCATCGAGAATCAGCACATGTGTACCTGGTGGTTAATTGCAAGTGCTCCACACGGTACCGGTACACTACGACTCTAGTAGAGTCGAGAATAGTCAGTTGCTCTAGTAGAGTAGAGTAGAGAATACTCTATTAGTAGTGTAGAGTAGAGAATACTCTATTAGTAGTGTAGAGTAGAGTAGAGCATCGCATCACAGCTGTGATTATGCGCCGAGCCATCTGGGTATCGGGTACCGGACGTTGGAGGCATTGCGATTGAGTCCCGCCTCGTCTATTCTTACTCATGCCCTCTTGGTAATCTGTCGCCCACTGATGCGATGCGCAGACGAGAGCTGATGCATCTGAATTGTGGCTGAACGGCGACGTCGAACCGAAGGACGAGCCAGCCCAGCCCATCACAATACAGCACAACGCAGCGCAGCACAGCACAGTAGTTACAGCACAGCGCAGCACACAGCGGCACATTCGGCATTGGAGCGACCGGAGGCGGAAGCGCTGAGAGACAGGGGCTGGGCTGGGCTGGCTGTGGCTGGTTGGCTGGTTGGCTGGCTGGCTGGCTGGGTGGGTGGGGTGGGTCCTGCGATTGAGGTGGTGCAGCGTGCTCGACCGCCGGCCCAGCCCTAATGTGTCATGTCGCGAACGCCCACGACGAAACCATCGTGCCGGCTGAAGTGCCTGCCTGCCGGCAAGGACGCTGCAGTCGCTTGTGCCTGCAGCTGCATGACGGACCAACCATACGCGCAGACATGCGGATGCGGCTCCCTCCTGGTCTACAGCATGCCACCCCCACACTGCACTGCACGCGGCATACCGACTTTCGTCGACGGGTTGTATGTATGTGGGTGGTGGTGCTGGTGGTGGTGGTGGGCAGCTTGCTTGTACCTATCATATGAAGTCACTTCGCCTGCCTTGGCACTCTGGAGAAGTCGCGATCGTTGGTGTTTCTACAGATATTCGAGCGAGCAAGTGCAGAGTGGTATTAGAGTTAAAACAACTCTCCGATCGTGATTCGTGACTTGCGGGTTGTACTTCGCGAGACACAACTCTTTTTTAGATCGGGGGTCTGGACTCAGGCAACCGGAGCGCATACTAACGATACTCTACAATAGCTCTACGTCAGGCTGACCTTTCGCATCCGCAAAGGCGTCCGAGCAACTGTCTAACTACCGGCTGCGAGGCTCCAATTGATGAGCCGAGTACTTATGAGAGAGTGAGAGAGAGAGAGAAAGAGAAAGAGAGCCCTAGTTAGCCGCACGCAGCCCACATCAGAACAAGCGTCGGCGATAGGGCAGTGCAGTCATGCAGTGCATGAGTAGTATAGAGTACCGTACTTACCTAGCTACCGATGTAGTAGATGAACTGACCGCCGGGTGCTGGGAGGAAACTCTGTCCGCATGTCCCCACAATCGGAAATAGAGGGGAAAGGAGAGCGCGGAAAGCCAGACGTTACCCAGCGGACCATCTGCCGCAAAAACAAGTCAACACTTGCTTGCTTGCGAGGAGGGGTCGACGTTGGGGCGGCTCGGTTTAGGGTAAGGCATCGTCAACGATGAAAAACGACGGGACACTTCGGTTAGTCGTTTGGTCTGATGGGTGACGAGAGTTTTGCTGCATTGCGCACGACACACGAGCATGTGGACTCACGCGAGAAGGCAACGCGACTCATATCAGATTCACGCAATTGGACGCTTTTCGATTGGATTTCTTGGTTTTTGGCGATATGTTTTCTCTCACCGGTGGAACCGGACCACGCTTCTCGTGACGGTGACGGTGATAATGTCGGTGACGGTGTCGGTGTCGGTACGGACTGGTCATGCTGCCGGGGGACGGACATTCCACGGCCGCAGCCAACCGACGATCCGGTGTCTGCGGCTTCAATGACCTCATGAAACACGATCGTTCGTAGGGATAATCACAGATGTTACCAGGCAGGCGGGTCGTCGGTTGACACCGGTGTGAAACACAGTATTGCTCTGCTTCACCGAGTTCGAGGGGGAGGGGGGTGGAAGGGGTGGGAGGGGGTGGGGAGATGCCCGGCTCCATCTGTCGCAGGCATTATTCTCCGAACCGTGCTTTGCGGGGGGTGGGAAGGAATGTACACAACCGAACGCAGTAACAGTCAAGCATCGACTACTGTTGAGTCAGGACCGGAGCGGCGATGTGGATGTACTCTACATCATGTATGTAGGAGGGATCTAGCATGAGCATGAGCATGAGCATGAGCATGAGCATGAGCATGAGCATGAGCATACATACCGCAGTTAGCATGTATGGAACGGATCTTAGCGGTAGATCAACGGCCGTGCCCGGGGCTTCCCTTCCTTCACAACTGTAAGCCCTATGGACGGTGCATGTTCCCTAAGACCCAAGTGGGTAGGTACCTAGTCTTCGTTTCTTAGCCTGCATCCAGGGACAGCCCGCCATTCAGCTACGAAATGGCCCATAATTTAACCGAATTAGGTGATGCCCGTCTTTGCGCTGCAAACGTCTGCCTTCTCAGGCGTTCTCGACGGTCCCCTGTGGCTTGCACCTAAATCACCCAAATATGGCGATTAGCTGACATCGGCTCCGACTGTGAATCGACGCAACTCTACGACTGGTTCCTCTGGCTGTCAGATTGGGAGACCACCCCACCAGTGGCTGTGAAATAGCCTTGTGACAGCAGCAACAGCATTCGCCCACCGCGAAAGAGAGGAAAGAAAGAAAGTGAAGGAAAAAAAGAGGTCGAGATGGAGCCCCGGCGAGAAAGAGAAAAAAACGTGTGTCGGCAGAGTTGGGGAATCGAGTGTCTTTCCTTGACGGAAAGATAGAGATGGCCCGAGACGCATCAATGCAGGACGCACTGGGTTATGCAGGTACCGTTCTCGATCCGAGTGTCGTCGGCCTACGACACTCCCCGCCCCACACCCCCTCCCCGCGCGCGCGCCCGGAACATCCACAGCTCCGCATGGCGGGTGCAGCCGCCGATTCCTGTCGGTATAAGCAAGGCTCATGCTCGTGCTGCTTCGCGGCGGGCAACTGGACGGATCCTTAGGAAGTCGATGCACGTTCCCTGAGGATGAAGTGAGCCGCCGTGCATGAGGCTTAGAGGTGGAGTACATCCCATAATACATACATACATCATACATACATCCAGTCTGCAACAGCGACCACGCGATTGCAGTGTTTACTACCCCTCGAGAAACGTCCGTCCCAGGTACCAGATGCAATGCCCTGACTAGTCCGAACCGTCGGGTCATGGCGTGCCTGTGTTCTGACTGGTAAGCGTGTCCGAGCAGGTAGTAGCGGTGCAACTCTCACCTGGCCCCACGCAGCGACAGGGCATGCCCAAAGGGTGGGTACGGTCCAGCTGAACTGTAGTCAATTTTGGAAAGCCACAACTTCGCGGTAAGTCGGGGCGTTCGTCTCGCTACTAGCGTGTGTGTATGTGAGCGAGAGAGACCGAGAGACAGAGGATAACATCGATTGCGGACGGGCAAGAGCATCAGAGCATCCAACGTAACACACCGAGGGCAACTAGCCTCTACCGCTTCGACATCCAGATCCATGACTGGGCCCAATGCCCTCCCCGACGGATGACTGGCTGTGCGGCCTCCGTGCGCGCATCAAAGGCCATCCTGTTTTAGTGCCCGCTTATAGTTCACCGTTCACCGATCACCGATCACCGTCCTCCGCATTGCGAGTTGGTATATATTCCCGCCGCTCTCCCGCTCTACAGGGCTCCTCCATATCAGCATCATCAGCATCATCACCTTGGGAACCCAGCACAGTTCGACATCTGCACCTTCAATCCATCATTGCATATAAGCACTTCTGTTCCTTTACCTACCTCCCTCCCTCCCTCCCTCCAAACACATATATACACATCCTCCCCTCCCTCCTCCTCAACCTTCATCCCCACAACACTCACAACAACGATCCACACCCTCAACTAATCCTCAACTCGCCCTCAGCTCAACCTCGACTCACCCTCGACTCACCCAAACTCACCCTCAACAACCAACAATCATGTGTCTCCGCGTAGTAGAGAGATACGCCGTCTGCGGGTGTATCTACTTCACTCACGGAGTTGATCGGTGCGGAGCGTACGGCCAGCACCAGGTCCAGGATCGTGTAGTCCTCGTCGGACACACGTGCCCCCTCCACGCCGCCTCCTACAACCTCCACACCTCCCCCTCCTCCCACCCCTCACCATCCCACTGTCCCTCAATGGGGGTGCTCCCGGACTCCTACGGGTCGGGACCGAAGTACTACGACGACTACTACGGCTCGCCCCGCTGAACCAGTTTTTTTCCTTCCTTGGATACGGTTCGATCAAAATCAAAATCCCCTCATCTTTCGGCCTCGTCTTCCTTCTTCAGCGACCCGCGATATCATCTACCTATCATATCATATCAACTCTCGGTTTGATCTCAGTCCGTAGGAGCACACCCCCGGAATGCACTCTCGTGGATTGGAAAGCACTATCCGGAAAACTTGCAACAACATCCTCCTTCTACTCCTCCTCCTCTCAGCGAGGAGGGGGAGAGAGAGCTGGCAAGAAGTACACTGGGACAGTAGCATGAAACTACCACGGGGGACAAGTGGGTGGAGAGTTTTACGAAAATCACGGAGAACAAATGGGTCGGTGGGCATGTTTTCTGATGGGATGGGGGGAACGGCGTTTTTTGCTATTACCATTGTTTCTTCTTTTGTTCTACTGGCTATTAGTCTTTCCTGTACTTTTGTTTAGTTTATGGCGATTTTTCTCCTATGATTCATCCTTCTTCAATTCACGTTTCGTTTTATTCAATGCTTTCAAAAAGTCTCCATTATTATTTGTTCTCGCAAGTTGCGAGGGTTTACGCACTGAAGTTCAAGTAGTACCAGCATAGAGTACCAGATCGGAACCTCGAGCATTGGAGCTTGGGGTAAAATAAAAAAGCCGTTTTTGGAAATTTCAATGATAGATCTGCAATTATGAGTTATGTGGAATATGATATGTATGATGTAGATACTATTTGTTGCTTCCCAGCGCCAGCGCCAGTGCTCCCGCGTGGCTGTGCCCTGCGTACAGGCCCGCCGCCGCTAAACTGGTTTTACTCAAAGTGCGCACCCGCACCCGCCGTGAGCATGAATTATTCCCTATGACTGACTGACTGGACTGAATGACTGAGGAAAGGCGTGCCCGCCGACGCAGTAGTTATCGGTTTGAAAGTTCATCTCCCCACCGTCGCTGTCATGACCCGCGCGCATTAGTTACTCCGACGCCGTCTGGATGCACTTTCTTTCTTGCTTTTCCATCCCGTCAGGCGTAGGAAAGCAGCCTTGCCTTCCTTACCTTGCCATGCGTGTAGGACAGGACAGGACAGTACCTACATGACAGCCTGAGGTTCGGAGTAATACGCATGATACCCACCTATCATCTATGTATGTACATACCAGCTACCTAGAATCTAGATACCTACTAGCTACCTGCTAGCTAAGTACCTACTCTCACCTACCGCGTTTCAAATTTTCGCGACGGGAGTATGTACCTATGGAGTAGGTACGATCGACTTGTTTATCCAGCCTTCGCCTCCGCCTTCCTTCGCCTTCGCCTGAAGCCCACGCCCCGGCCTCGTCGGACGGTCGGACGTCCCTCCTATGCGTACCTCCCTCGTCGGAGACTCGGAGTGGGTGATCTATTAATACCACCCACCCGGCCAGGTATATTTGCCGCAGATACGCGAGTCTCAGGGTCTGGTCGAGGCGGGTTCACCAGCCACGATCCGGGGCGAGGGGCGAGGGGGCGAGGCGGCTTACGTGTGGCTAAGCAAAGAACAAGCACAAGTAGATAGAGTGCCGGTACCGGTACCGGTCTGTAGCGGTGCCGGTCAACTGACTAGTGCATAAAGTACGGTATGTAAAGTGCCCTGACAAAAGGGATTGGACAAAGCCCGTTTTACACCAAAAATGCCCATTTTCATGCAACCCAAACATACCCTCCACCTGGTCGAAAAAAATCGTCTCTTTCATAGAAGCGTTAGAATCACAAGATTCTTCATCAATAAAAACTTTGACCACTTTCATCACATATTGGGGCTGTACGAGGTTGTATTGTGCAGGAGTTAAAAAGTGACATTCCATTTTGTATGGGGCTCCCATACAAAAAGCTACTTAGCAACCATTAACTTTTCCCCCGTATGGTATTGCTCCACAACAACAATTCAGAACTCCGTGAGGAGCTTCTATATCGTTCTCGGTGTAGTTATAGAGGCCTCCCGATGGTCTCAGATTTTCTTCGATATGTTGTGGTTGTTGTATCGGTGGTTGAAAATGGCCATTTTTGGTGTAAAACGGGCACTGTCCAATCCTTTTTGTCCTAGTACTATAGCATAGAGTACCACAGTATCATGCTGGGAGCGGGAAGCGTCTGGGAGTAGAGCAAGGCGTGTATGTAATGATACAGTGGCGGAATGAAGCGGATCAACCTTGAAGGTGGGATCGCGTGGTATGCCTCCCCAAAGCTCCACTCCGCACGGCGCACCCCCGGGTTTAGCGGGTGCGCTCGGGGCCGGCTCCAGGAACAGCTCCCCCCCAGGCTCCAAGGTGGGTGTCGTTTCGTTTCGTTCGGCTGCGCCAGCGCGCCTCAAGCTACTACCTTGTACTATGTAGTACGGTACTCTACATAGACTCTAGACTCTGGAGTCTAGGGAAAAGGTCGAATATAGAATCATAGATGATGGAGCTCAATGCCTAAAGCCCAAGCCCAAGCCTAAAGGCCCAAAGGCGGTGAAGATCAAGCCTAAAGGCTCAAGGCCGGTGGTGGAGCATGAAAAAGCGGCGAGGGCTAGGCAACAGTAAACATAGTAGACTTGGTGAATCGCTTGTTTTCTTTCGGGCGGGTGTCTTTGGTTAGTTACTGGGGCTTTGAGCTACCGGTACGTACTAGGTATCTACTCTACAAACGGGCTGTTTGGAAAAGCGAAATATACCGTACCGTAGAGTACCAGGAGCTGCCAATAAGTGGTGCCTCACCACCATTACGAATTATCTGCACTAGTCTATATTAGGAGCACACTAATCCAGATACAATGAAATGAGTGAGTGGTTGTGACTAAGTTGTATGGGGTAAAAACTGGTGAGGCAGCACTTACCCTTACACCCGAGTACAGTACCGTGCTCTACCGGTACATACCGACCGACAATCATCTCGCGAGCATGGAAGAGCCCCCTTGTAATCGCTCCGAGAAGAAAAGAAAAGAAAAGACAAGAAAATAAAGAAAGAACAAGTATAGTTCGAGCCCCTCCCCCGGAGCTACCATACGCGGCGCAGAGGCGGTGAAGATGGTAGATTTCGCTGCCGTCAGGCAACAAGCAACAGGCAACAGTGTCGCCCCGCACCGGAGTCTTCTCGCCTCGGAGCCTGGAGGAGTGGTTTATACATAGCACAGTGTGTTTAGTTTGTGTTCATGATCGGCGCGGTGTTTTGAGAAGCGAGCTGGAGGTGTAACAACCATTCCTATGCATATCCTTCGCACGTGGAGACGAAGAGGCGGGGTATGTTTGTATTCTACTCATGTAGGGAGGATTATAATTTATACTAGCTATCGTGACGCTTCGATTGGCCGAGGACTTGGACGGGCGTTTGTCAAAAAAAATGTTTCAGCTCGGACTAACTACGGACTAGGAGTTTAGCTCTCGGCTTCAGTATCCATTCGCTCTGCCGCGTTTGATTCGCTGCGCGGGATATGTATTACGAATTTACGACGAGTTCCGAGACAGGAATACATCAGTTATGTAGGTACGTACGTCTTGCTTTACGGGATGGAATGGTTAGTATGTAGATATTTTCGTCTGTTATGTTTGCGCGAACGGGTACTACCTACACGGTACTACACGACACGGTACAGCACGGCCACACGAGTCACAAGATATCACCATGCGTCCCTTCTCTTTGCTAGGAGCCAGGTCCCAGACTACGGGTATCATACTACCCCACCCCCATCCACTATAATGCCACCCCCTCCCCCTCCCCCTCTCCCTCCGCGGCCTTCACCTCATCCCTCCTCCCCTCCAAAAACCTCAGTAGATTCCTCGCCTCAGCGACTTTAGCGCCGTCCCAAACGCCATCAACGATCTCGCCGGCATCATGCACCAGCTCCTCAGCGCGCCGCAGGGTCTGCTCTAGCACGTCCAGGTCCCTACTGTTCCCGCCCGGCAGGAGGAACCACATCCTTACTGCCGCGGAGCGCTTCCATTCCAGGTCGTACCGATGCGCGGGTGAGAGCGCGTGAGTTGCGACGGCGAGAGAGAGTGGGTCGTACACGCTGTGGATGGGGGAGGCGGGGAAGAGTAGTCGTGGGATTTGTGTGAGCAGAATGGTCAGTGCTAGTGCGCGGCGCGGAGTCGTGGCGAGGGTGGCGATCGTGCTGGGTGTGAAGGTCGTGGAGAGGAGGGTTAGCAGCGGTGTGAAGATCCTGTGTGTGGGATGGCGTTTAGTCAGGGCACACGAGCCGGAGGGGGGAGGATGGGGGGGGGAACACTACCCGCAGGACCGGGCGAACTCCGGGGTCCGCAGGAACCAGCGGCGGACTAGGCTCGGATCTGCTGGGGCGCCAGAGGAGAGGTCGTAGCCGTCGAACCAGAAGCTCAGGAGGGCGTCGACATCGGTGGTGGTGAAATTCGGGTTGTCGCCCGCTGTGGAAGTCAGCATCGGCGTCGGCGTGGGGCTGGTCATGGCTGCGTGCGCACGGGATGTCCGCCTGCCTGGAGCCTTGTTTAGCTGCGCGAGGTAAGGTGAAAACGGAGGGTGGCCGGCGGTGCGCACGGCTAAGGGTAAGGGTACTATTGAATTGCTCAGCGCCACTTGGATTCATCAATCGTCATGCCACTGCTCGTCACCATAAAAGTTGAATTGTAAGTAAACGTTTCAATCACAGTTGGAAAACTTTGGAAAGTCGCGAGTTCAAAACTTCTCCATTGTGCACAATAAAAACTACTCGTACATGATACACCAAAAACCACTCCCAATCCCCCATCGCTAAAGCTCATTCAAACATTATCCAAGAAGTCAAACCAGACATGCATCCATAAATCATTAAAATCTCGTCCTCTCCTCCTTCCTTCCCTCCCATGTGTCCTTACTTTCTCTCATGCAAAACTCATCCCCTTTACACGACGGTTCCCCTAGAGCGGCGGGTGCGGTTCGAGTCGGACCTCGTGGCGGCCAAGATTCCGAGCACAGTAGTGGCGAAGAACAAGAAGAGCTGAATGATGACGCCGGCGACGAGGAGCTTGACGAGCCCGGACATCAAGTCGGGGTGGTCGCCCTCGAGCTGGGCGCGGCGCACATCCATCAGGGACCACCAGAGAGGGTTGCGGCGGCGGTCGCCGTGGTAGTTGTGGCGGAGGAGGATGGCCGAGGCCAGGTAGAGGACGAAGACGACGAAGTCGAGGAACGCAGCCACCAATTGGAGGGTGTGGTTCAGGAAGAAGATGGCGGCCATCGAGAGCATGGTGAGGATCAGTGCGATGACCGAGGCGGCCAGAGGCAGAGACACTTCGCGCAGGACTCGGAAGCCGCCATCACGGTATTGGTCGACCATGTAGGACGTGATGCCCATCAGGATGACGGCGAAGAAGAACTGGAGGAGGCGGATGATCCATGTCGCAATCTTTGCAGCGCCGGATACCATTTTTGCGGTTGTTTGGAGGAGGTAGTTGAGAGGATGGCTTTACTGTGGCTTGAGCGTCGATGGATGAGACCCTGTGAGGCTTCTCCGGAGTAGTGTATGTTTTTGGGGCTGGACGAGGAGGTTACTGCTCGAGTTGCTGTGAATGCTGTGGATGCTGACTTTGATATGGATGTTCTCGGGAGTGGCCCACTTTTATAACAGACATCCATTATCATCGTTAGAATGGGGTGGTCCGTCTGGAGAATAGAATACGGCCTACGTCATGGGGCCAACGAAACACCGACTCAGTGACAGCAGCAACAACAGTGACCGCTCTGGATGCCGCCCTTCAATCGTTCGCCTACCTTGTTCTTTGTCATTTGAACAGTGCCGATCAATGCCTGGGATCGGAAAATCTTGTAGCAACGTCTGGGTTTGGGTTTGGGTATTGAAGAGGGGGGGGATGACAAGGAATGCTGCAATCACATTGTTGACTGGGGGTCAAAATCTTGATTTGGTGGTGTCGGACGGGGGCACGAGGCCCAACCGCATTTTCATCAAGGCCATCGTCGGCGTCGAATTTCGGCTTGGGGAGTCCTTGGATTACAGTGCCGAGTGCTGGCAGCAAGGTGGTTGTGTCAAGGTATGGGTACTCTACCGCGGCGCTCTGCCCCGGCCCTGGTACTTTTGCAACACAGCACTAACCATACCACGCGTGGCCAAACGGCACGTACGAGCAGGTACCTCGTCATCCGACAGACTCTACGTCGCATGTACCGGCGCCGACTCGAAGGCGCGATCGGGGGGGCGATGGATGGAAGGCCTCTCCGGTTGGCTGTGGGCAAACACACGTTGTTCCCGGATCCCAGTCTCCGTGAAACTTTTGGTTGCACGAGCAACTGTGACGTTGCGGTGCAGGCCAGTCAGCGGCTGCAGGCCGGGGACTGGGAAGAAGCAGCAGCAGCAGCTCCAGCTCCAGCTCCAGCCACTGCCGACCCCGACAGCGACAGAACCAAAAATCACGAGCAGAGATCTCTGATATCGGCGCGCATCTCTCCTCCATTGAGCAACGAAAGCGGAGTGGCTGTCATCGGTCGAGGATGCATGAGTGCTCCGAAGTGTGTCTATTGTTCGACGGTCGGCGGTGGTCTGATACGAGCACTGACGTCATCCTTCGCGAAGTCCACAACGGCGCGACATTCCTTCGATGGCCATCGATGCAGAGACCTGTCCGGTGCTCTACCTAACTCGCCAACCCTCCTGCCGACATCCGCGGAGAAGTTTCGAGAGGGTTCTCTCTCGCATCAAGTCTCCTCGCTGCGGAGAATGGGCAGACTCGCGGTCATCGTGGGTAGTTACTGTAATCGACTGCAGGCAGAGGTCGAGGCCAGAAGAAGAGGAAAAGGAAGAAGATGAAGATGAAAGTGGAGATGAAGAAGTCGCTAGCCTTGTCTTCCATACCTCTCACGATCTTTGCAATTCCCCTATGGGCCGTTTCCGGCCGTCCTGCCCTGTACCGGACGGATCAAGCAGCCGTCGATTCTAGGTATGATACATACGGTACTCTACTGTGCGGAAGGGAGCCTGCCGCTTTCGAAGATAGTGGGAAGGACCTCCGGGCCAGCCAGTGGTGTAGACATGGTAGGATGAGAAATCAAGCCACCCTTGAGTCCTCAACACAATATCTGCTCGCAAATTCGGCGAATAGGCGACGCGTTTTCTCAACCACTATCATGTGCAATCCGGACAAGTGTGGCGCAGCGTTGAGGCGAGTTGTCGCAATTCCGATTGACCCATGATTTTCGATGATAGCTTCGACGATAGCTACGTTCACAGCCTGGGCACCGCACGCCGGCCACCGCGAATGCCTTCTCGATGCGGGTTCTCATGGAACATCATTTAGAGTAGGCTTGCGATCAACCGCTGGATCATAAGCGAGCTGGCCACCCCGGACCTTATGTGGTTAACTTGATTTTCGTTTCTCTCGGTTGACACAACGCACGCACGACGGGACACTACGTAGAGTACCATAGCTTCCGTCTGGCGGCATATGCATAAACAACGTTTCTGGGGATTCACCATGGCCGCTGTGCCAGGAGAACTCCCGTCGGACAGAACATCATGCAGCATTCAAATTAGGCAGTACTATTCCATAACGGCAGTACATATAGCACATCTTTAACGTTTTGGCCGAACACTTGTCTAAGCGACATCCACAGTTATGCATAGATATCTACACAAACAACACCGAGGCGCCGAATTGAAAGGGGAGGCTGGTTGGCAGCGGCGAGGATTCGCCATTGGCGGTAGAGCGCCGTTGACGTCGTCGCCGCCTTTTCAGTGTAATCTAATCCGATTTTGTGGGCCCGCTCGGTGGGCAATTCCGGATGTCCATCAATCGTCGTCCAATTGCCTGGCTAGTACTGTTTCATGATGCTTCGCTGAGCAGTGGAGCGCGCGCTCGTACAGATCTGTTATGTACCGAGCGGGTCGTGCATATATCACGAAAAATAAGGGCGTTTTTTGGTTTATGAAAGTCCTCACCTTTGACTCCTGTCTCCGTGCAATCATCTTGAACTCTAGAGACACCTTAAATGTAAGCCTTCTTTTCGCTCGGACAAAAAAAAAATCCTTCTCACGATGGAGTTCACTGGCGATTTCCACGTCCAGAAGAACCTCACAGTACGCCAGTACCGCCAGGAGTGTCGAAAACTGCAGGTTAATATCTGGAAACAAGTCCCGATCCCAGGTACTTTTTTGAAATTCCCCGTACCTCTCATTCCTCCGTCATAGGCTCCCTCATAGGCTCCTTCATCATGCCAATGCTCGCCGCGCCTTCTCGCTGCCGCCGTCAAACCCCTGATACGGTACCTACCGTGGCATTGGGGAATTTTCGTTCGAATTTTGAGACAGATAACCTTGAACTTATCGAAGTCTATGCAACTCCAATCACGAGCCCGGAGCCAGATAGATTGTGAGATGGCCCATGGGAATGTCCAGTGTAGCATAGTATACACCCTACATACAACGCTGGAGGTACCGGGCGATTCCGGAAGAAGCTCAGCACAGTAGGTTCCAAAATGTGCAGCACACTTTGCGCCTATCTCTTTACGAACGGTGCATAGCTGATTCATGATTCATCCTCACATCTTTAGAGCCTCCTCGGAGTCTGTATCAGTGATCACTAATTGCGAAACCTCAGTCCTCGATAAGGTAGTTAACCTGATTTCCTTCTGGTGTTGAGTCTGTCGGAATAGTGAAGGTGCACAAACTCATTTTGCAGCAAGCTGCCTCAAGCAGTATGTCCACGAACTGTTCTCATCAACTAGGCCAGGCCTGATCAACGAGTACATACAGCCCGCGGGACTCGGCGGGGAAAAGTATCGTTTAAAGCTTTTACCTCACTCATGAATATTTCGTATGTAGAGTACCTACACAGGCAGCAAGACCACCCATCCCGCTCCCCGCAGTACCTTGGCTCGAAGTGCATCACCTCTATCATTCATGTCACAACCCTTACTGCCAACAATCATCAGCTACGGTCATAGAACCATGAACACACGGCTTCCCGTCCGCTCAGCCCTAGTTAAGCATGGTATCGCCAGGTTAGTACTGCAGTGGGTGACCATGCGGGAATCCCTGGTACCGTAGTTTTTGTTTTATTTTACTCCCGACATGTGTCCACTGTCCATTGGATGTAAAAGCTTCGAGGCCTAACGCGCGAAGAATTTTCGAAGACCCTTTTTCGGCTTCGAGTTCTCGCAGCGCGAAGGGTCTTCTCTTAATCCGATTCGACTCCAAGTACTCTGTTGACTCGGATTTTCCAAAACGTCGGTGAACCGCCCTGCTCTCCGGCGCCCAGCATCCATCTCTTTGATATCTAATTATGGATCCAGAAGGGGTAGAAAGGTTTTGAGTTGGCCCGTCACCTGCTTCTACACTTATGGCTTGGAATCCTGCATAGTCAGTCACTCGACCTTACGGAGTGATAATCTATGCACGTACAACAAAAACCGAGATGAGATTAGGACTTTGGACCTACGCGCGTCAAGAGACATATGTAGCCCATGTCTATTGAGCTCTAGTCTTGTATCGGTTGGTTTAACCCGCTGGGCGTGAGTCATCATCCTTCGCACGGTAGATAAGATAAGATGCGATTGGACAGCCGCACGAGCAGTGGTTGCAGGCTTATTCTTGTAGCCGCGTAGCCTTGCTTCTCGTCCTAGACAAAGACGATGAACACTCCTACTGATTCTTTCTTCTTACCTCTCTGCAATAATCGGCAGCAGCACGCTTTGGTCGAGACTCTCTGAGGCGGAATATTACATCTGGGCAGGGAAAGCACTAGATGCGTTGACAACAATCTCAGGATACCACGATCTTCTTATTGAGAGGGATATATACAGCGCACCACTTTTTAGATAGACGGTCAAGGGCACCGGCTCCTGACGTGCTTCAAGCGGACCATTAAAGTGCCATGGATTGTCAAGATGGCAGGATGCCAGGGACATTTAGACAGGCCCGGATCACTCGTGTCTAGACTCTACTGACTACAGTTATAATACATATAGGTTTATGGGTGTTTGATTTGTGCGCTATATATACCAAGCAGCTCATATGACATAGGTACTAGAGCAAAGGTCTATAACCGGCAGCAGACGTCTTGCGCGTGCCATGTGGATACCTTAAATACCTATCGCTTCAACAGTATCTGTGCAAGTACATACATTACCAAGATCATTCTCGCCTGGGAATCCCTGGCTTACGTCTCCAGCCGCTAGGTAGTACCGTACCTCGTCAAACAGACGCCTCTCGATCGGATAGCGCGGCTTCCTTCATTTCACTTTGTGTGGCGCCGTGATCGATGTGCACACTGCATAGAGAGAGGAGGCGTTCTGTTCTTCCCGATGAAAGGGCGATTTGGTGCCCGCCTCGGCTCGTGACTCGCAAGTCGTCTGCCGTTCCGTGGGAGGCTCTGCTCGGGAATCGGGATGTTTGCAGTACTCTAACTAGGTAATTCGTGTCAGGTTGTCAGCCACTCGCCAAACGTGGTTTCACATAGAGTGTAACTTACCGTGTAAATTGCAATATAAACCTTCCAGGGCTAGGGGCCTGGGGCGGCCATGGAAGTTTGTGAAGTCGGCTGTATGTATTGTACGCGTGTCGGAACGCACATATCTAGAGTATCTGAGCGGCATTCGCCATCCGCCGGTAAACAACTACCCAGCTATTTTTAGATATCGGTCGGGACTCGGTGACTCGGCCGTGCACGGGGCCACTGGCATGCACGGCCACATAGATAGCCGAGCGGTCTTCAGCCCCGCCACGCAGAGGCGCAGTCAGTGAATCGACAGAACCGCTCGCGTTACACGCACGTACGGACGGATCGCGAGAGGGGAAACTCGGAAACTGTGCAGCTCGGAAACAGGTTTGCATGCTGACAGTGCGTCAGGTTTTGGATTCATCATCATAAGTTCATAACCGCCATGCTTCTATGCATAGGTACTCTAGGTGGGTGGGTGCGCAAATACGGTTCGTCCACTCTCTTGATCGCCTCGGCGACGGCGTGCTCATCGTTTTTTTCGTCTGGGAAAACCGATAGGTTGGTTATTCCGTAGACAGGTATCATACGTAGGTACAGGTATGTAGGCAGGGCGAGGGTCTGCCACGGCCCACCGCCAGTGGTTCCGAATGCTGCGATAATCCTTCCGCCAGTCATCGCATACCTTCTTTCCTCCCACTGAATATCATTGGGGTAACGTATCTGCACGCAGCAGGTAGAATCCCCTGCGGTCGATCCTGATGCCGTGGCTGCTCTTTGCTGGTACCGCAGATCCGGGTACATACCACCGCAGAGCGGATTTTGAAGTACTCATACAGTACAGTAGAGTAATCACGAATACGCATCATCAGGCCCACTAAGCAGCGTGAATAGATAAGTACACACCCCGCCCGCACCTCATAATCACAGAAAAAGAAGACGTGTCACGCTTACGGAAGATCCTTTGCCACACGTCAGGTCGGCAGCAGAGGGTATAAGATGGCCGCAAATTCTCCCACGCGGTGCGAGGGCAGGGCACTTTCATGGGCTTTCCGGACAACACCAACATCAGCATAATACCATCATGTACCAAGGAGTTCATCGATCCTCGTCGGATTTCACACAGCCCCAGGGTTTGGTGGCGAGTGATCTCGTATGTTTATCTCTTCTCGCCGGTGGTGGTTTTGAATCCTGACATGTACTAAAGAAAAATAGCAACTCAAAGGGTGGATACGCATATTGAAATTCTTTGCCCGTGTGCTCAGTCTTATCTGCAGGTGCGTGCTTCATCCAGTCTCCGCTCCGCATCCGCAAAGGAGGGGAGAGGGAAGGAGGAGGGAGGGACTAACCCTTGCCATCACAGTGCGGTCGTAATCGGGCTCTCGATCGCTACGTTCAAGATATTTCTCGCTACGAAAGACCTCCCGGCGCGTAACACGTTTCTGCCATGGGCGCGGCCGACGGTGCTCTGGCCACAGATCCTGACGCTCACGATCGCGTGCATCTCGTTCCTCGCGTGCATCTACGTGATTTGGGGGTACATCCGCAACGGGCACCGCGGAGGCGAAGCGGCATCTCCGCTGGCCACGACGGCGACGGTGATCGGCTTCATCGCATGGATAGTTATCTGGGCGGCCGCCGGGACGTCCATGCAGACCGTCCGTGCATCCCAGGAGGGAAAGGATATGTGGGGATGGGCTTGCAATAAAGACGCCGGCCCGAGGAGACAGGCCTTTGCTAATAAGATCGACTATGACCTCGTCTGCACCATGCAGGATTGGAACTTCATTTGCACCATGATTCACGTGGCTACGGTGGTGCTTTCGGCGGCGGTGTGGGTCGCTGCTGTGTGGAGGTTGAGGGTTCAGTCGAGGATTCATAAGGGGTGTGAGAAGGGCGGTTCGCAGGGGCAGGCGTGAGGTTTCTTAATTCTATTAATCCTGTCATGAAATCGTTTTTGGGACTTCTTTACTGTTTTTATGGGGTTTGGGGCGTTTTGTATATCATCGAGGCCGAGAATTGTTACACCAGTGTCATTAGAACGCATCAAGTTAAATTCGTGAACAATTATCTTCCGAAGCTACCTCGTCCTCATCACGTCTACTACGATTATAGTTTACAGCTTCGCTGGTACATCCACCTTGAAACCCGCCTCCTTCTGGAAAATTTCGATCGTCTCGTTCCACAGCCTCTCCCTAATCCCTTTACCCTCGTCGTTAAACAGCAACGGATTGAACCTGTAAATTCCGCCATCAGTATCCGAACGCCACTACGGAGATGAGTGAAACTTACGGCAGAGTCACACCGATCCCGGTCGTCAAGGACCCGTGCCCATCCCTTCCTTTGACCACACCGGACGTGAGAACCCTCGCACAGGCCTCAGCACTCCACGTGATCCACCTGAAGTAGATGAGCTTCGCAAAGCCCATAAGCCAGCGCGGATACTCCCTGAACAGGTTCGTATCCGCCATAGCCGGGCAAACCGCATTTACGACGACATCGGCGCCGCTGACGCGCTCGGCGAGTGCCTGCACCCAAAACAGGTTGAGGAGCTTGCTGTTGTGGTAGTTTGCGTACACGTCGAAGCCCTTGCTTGCCGGATCGCCCATCCAGTGAATCATTTTCGGGTGGTGCTTGGCAGGCAGAGTCGTCCAGGTGTTTGTGCCGCCGGCGACGACGGTGAGGTTTGCGGGCTTGCGCGGACACGCCTCGAGGAGCGGTAGGAGCAGGAGCGACATCAGCGATGTCGAGACGTGGTTTATCTGGATTGTCCTCTCGCGCCCATACGGAGACTTCTCGATCTTGGGGGTATTGATGGCCGCATTCAGGAGGGCAATATCGAGGTAGGCCGTGCTCTCCTTCAGTTTTTCAACAAATGCGGAGATGTATTCGTGGCGCTCCTGGTCGAGCTCGTATACATCGACCTTTGCGTTCGGGTTCACCCGCTGAGTGGTTTTATCGGCGAGTAGCAGCTTTCGGGCGGCTTCGGCGCGGGAGAGCGAGCGAGACGTAATAATTAGATATGATAGCTTGAGGCGTAATAGCTGACGACCACATTCGAAGCCGAGACCAGCATTCCCTCCGGTGATGAGCGCCGTCTTACCGGAAAGGTCGTTGCCCTCATATGGAACCGGCTTTGGAGTGGCGCGAAGTTGGTAGTAGATGAAGGAGGGTCTGAAGTTGTCGAGACTCATTGCGGCGGCGGTGTTCCACGCAATGTATTATTGACGGCTTTAACTTGTCGTTGTGAGGTGAAGTTTGCGTGTTCAGCTTGTCTATCGAGTTTGTATATGCTCGGAGAAATATAGAAGCTCCGTGAGGAGGTACACAGGTGGTTTAAGTACATGTAACCACATAGATGTCGGTCACTTAGAATATAGTCAGAATATGCTTGTCCATTATCTGCATGGACCGCCTCCGCAATAGCACTTCTCCCTCGATGTACGAGTAGATTGAGACATACACTTCGGAGACTTCATTCGAAGCACTTCGCCGGTAACATCTCTGTGACTTTGGATGTCACGGAATGTACGAGAACTTTGATTGCCATACGCAAAATACCAAAAGATACACTGCGAAGACTTGATTCTAGGCAACTTTCCGGTAACATCTCGGCGACTTTGACTGTTACGGAATTCCGGGTGCTTTTTGGTGTTTCACGGGCCGGCATCGTACACGGCAATAAAAAGCGAAAGCAGACAATGTTGGACAGTACACGGTATATATTTCCTCCGTGTTGCATGTCAGAATCTTCCAAAAGATTCGACAATACGTTTACACTATCATTATTCGTTAGTCGCCGAAATGTGTGCGAGAAGACACGGATGTCCGGTGCTACCAGAGTTGTCTGACGCAGTATCGATCTTTACTGTCGGCGGCAGACCATCCAGCGCTTATCTCGTTACACTGGGCGGAGACAACGAACTGGTTCAGTTGGCGGGTAGATTGTAGGCGTTTCAGTTGGGTTGCCGCCGGCTGTCGGATTTGCAAATTGCAGCTGTTGCGGTTCGCTCATGATTTTTGGCCCAGTTGAACGGCCAAACTGTTTGCACTGGCAGTTTGAATGAAACTTTTTTTCAACACCTTTCACAGCCTAGAAATCACTAATAACCGCAAAATAAAACCCCCTTACATACTCATATGCATCCGACATAACAGCTTACTTAGTACAGCTTCGCAGCGGCAGACATGATTACTCCACCGCATTACTACCAATTCGATAGCAGTTTCACAGTCTGGAGGAGTTCAATCGGAACTATTGATTACATGCGACCTATCTAATTATGGCAATAAAGACTCCGCTTCTTCATCAAGGAATTTCATGAAAGAGTATATGGGGATGCAGCTTGCAAGATGCAACAAGTGCGGCGAGGTTTCACTCTACATCACTCGCATGCCCGACTTGGCGCGTGTTGGAAATGGTGATTGAACAGTGAATTGTATAAGAACTTTGTATCTTATTCAGATAACAGAGGTTATAGTCTCAGAGAAGGTTAAAGGCTCGTGATTTCCACCATGAGTATGCCATCGAGTGGTATATTATCAGCGCGCAGTGTTCGCAACAGAGTTAAGCCTGCCCATATAATGCACTGCTCGGAACCCGCAAGCCCAAGATCACCCTCGATTCAAACGATTGGTCGAGGTGAGAGAAGAAGTAAGACAGCGGAGCTAGCTGATGAAAGTTGCCCTTGGTCAACATCTTTGCATGCCGTTGCGAGGATTATCACTCGTTTAAAACTCAGGGCTGAGTTTTTGGCGGCAAGTTGCAACTGACACCATTGAATGGAAGGAATCAGTCCAGCCCAGCCCATAAAGTGAAGGGTCATGCTTAGACGGTCCGTCAAACACTTTCCGAAATTTTGAGGCGATGCCGCACTGGGAGGCACTGGAATGTCTCGACATCTGGCAACGGGATGGACTTGCACATAGCTGCTACAAAGGACGATTGCAAGGAGATGGGGCGATGCGTATTGTACTCTTTGAGGAGGAGGATTTACAAATTACAATAGCTTTATAAAAACTTCGTCAATAATGTCCAACAGGAACTGAAACTGGAAAAGCAAGTGCGAGTGCTGGAGTATGATGGTACTATGCTCCAGTGAGGACGAATTGCTGTCCAAGTTTATTACTCTAACGGGCTGCAGCCGTGAGGATAGGCTACACGATCACCTGTTATAGATACTTAGGTGACTGTAACTGATTTATGGTTTGTAATGGACACTTTATGTCGGCTGTTGAAGACACGAGCAATCACACATCAAAACGATATCTCCGCCGGTCTTCGATCCCTCCAATACTCCAGGCCTAGTGATTCATCTGCCACATCCACCAAAGCCGATGTAGGCGCCTAATGGGGAAGCCACATGGTCGGTGGCCAGAGGGAAGCTAAGTCACTACTCACACGGCCGGAAATTTTGGCCGTGTGAGTAGTCAGTTACATAGAGTACATAGCAGCGACCTTGCAGCGGGACGTTCCGCTGCGGACCCCAGTCCACACCGAGAGTCAAGACAGGTTGAACGGCGAACATGTGGATCAAGCCGATACTTTACGGAAATCAGCCTCGCCGTGGCTTCACTTCACCACGCTTGTGTTTCCACATTTTCGTTTCTCGGCTACTCCCCCTAATCGGGCTGGGGCTCGCCACTCTGCGACCTCTCTCGAGAAACATCGTACGGTACATACCCCTACTTACCTTGCCATTGGGATTCCCGCCAGCCTTCAAATTACCTCCAGGAACAGGTCACAGAGTACATTGCCAACAAGCGACTCATGAGATCCGGATCTCGTGAAGGAAAAGAAGAAAAAAACCAGGAAAAAAAACATATCATGTTGAACTCCGGACCCCATCTTCCTAGAGTATATCTAGGGTATATCACCCAATATCCGTCCCCTCCCTAGTTATCCGGGCGGGCGGAACACGATTGCCAGCGACCTATTTTCGGGGCCCGGAGCCACCGTTCAATCGCTCTACATCAGACAGCCGTCCGACCAGAGGTCCAACACGCACAAACAAAATATAGGTCACATAACTGTAGATACAGTACATACAAAGTATCTACATACAACTTCGGCGACACTCCCGGATCGGATCGAATCGCTATACCTAGTATATTCGCCCGCGTTAATGTTCCAGGATTAGGCAATTACAATCCGATATTCAGATTTAGGTGGCCAATGATGACGCCAGGTCCAGGTGATACCGATACCTACCGAGGTAGATCTATCCACACCACACGGACCGAGCGAACCTCCTGACCTTCCATGCGCAGGCTCGGCGTCGGCGACGTCGGCGCTTCAGGCTTCAGGCACTGGGCTCTGGGCCTTTCAGTGGCCGGGGGGGGAGCGTGTTGCAAGTTACAAGTTGCGAACCAACGACTCTCGTCAGGGGGGTACCGCAGTCGGAAGCGCCTGTAAGGAGAAGAAGAAGGAGAAGAAAAAAAGAAGCAGGCAATTATCACGATCAGCCGTTACACGGATCGCCGATCAATCCGTGGCTCGCACGGTCGCACCCAAGTAAGTAGGTGCATATGTAAGTAGTTACCGCGCCCGTTTATCTGGCGGCAAAAAAAAGGAGCAACAGTAGGCGGGAAGCGTCTAAGTCAACCGCGCACTGCATACTGCATCACGTCTGATAGAGTAGAGCGATCGCTTCATGGTGTGTTACATCGAGACGTGCATAGTTCAGACGCGGCCCGCGCTCCGATGGATTACCTACGGTATCTGTACTCTAGTAAGATATTCGAGAAATTTCGCTGTATGTACTGGTAGCAGAATAATAAAACGGCAGAGGAAATTCGGGCCAAACCGGTGACTGGTGGGTCAGCACCTTGGTAGGTACCTATCGGGGTGAGGATTTTTTGAAAACGTTGATCTCCGAAGCATCGTATCATGTGTACCAGTACATGCCTGAATTCCAACAGTGGATCAGGTGCAATCTCAAGTTTCGACCCTAGACTGTCTCTCCGGTATTCGGCCGGAAGTCTCCAGCCTACACGATGGCTAACTAACTGGGATGTGGATTCGCCAACACCGATTCGATTAAGGTTCGAAACCGGCGTGTGGATGGCCAGTTGCGCGCGAGACACCGGAAGACGGCCATGTGTAGGAGTGTAGGTTGTCGCCAGGGTGGCATATACTAGCAGTTAATTATTAGTTAGTTACTCTCTACCTATCGAACAATAGCCGTCCGCTTGAAATACCTAGGTAGGCAATCAATTCTCCTAGTCCATCCCCCGTCAAAGCTCGTGTTTGGGCCGTCTATGCGCGTTTCTGTGGGATTGACTTTGAGCGCGGGGAGGGGTGGGGTTCCTGTTCCTGCAGGTCCAGTCACGTCCGTATGATCCGAGGTTGCATGATGCTCGCGAATGAACGTGCGTGGGGGAAACGTATGTACATGCTTACATGCATACGTGGGCATAGTTACCAGCGCCGAAGCATACATAGGACAAGCTCATTTCGGAACGACGCTTGTCTGGACAGTGGATTCTGCGCAGGCGACGTGACGTCGCGGAGTTCTAAGACCTCAGCTCTCCGAGTCAGGAGGTAATCTTTTCTAACGGCCACAACGCTAAGCTTAAAAAAGGTGTGTGGCTGTGGCAAGGAGTCACGTGCTTGCAGCAAAGAAAGGTTTTCACCCCTGAGTTCCGTGTCTGTACCATAACCACCAACCATTCCTACTACCACCATCACCATATCCAAATAACTTCAACCAAATGTCTTCCGGTATGACTTCCCTCCCACACTAGGTATGCGTTGTATTGAAAGAAGCAGCTCTTTCAGTTAGATAAATCCGCTGATTTACCTGTGGATCAGTTCAGCGAAGTTGGGCCGTTGGTGGGCAGTGTCTACGCGTTTCGAAATAGGAGTATACAGCAGAACAAAGCAGTATCCAACCACGAGTCGATGACAATCCGATCCAACACAGAATCAGCAGCGTCCGTGATACCGATCAGTGTCCGGTTACTGTCAAGTTGACGCGTCAACTCGTCGGACTGCATCCCACCGTTATTCTCGAACGCGAAACCAAACATTACCACAGTTACCATTTTGAAACCAGTTGCACGGCGAAAAAGTCAGCTGATCGCGACAGAAGTCGAGAAGAACTACCTATTCCGCTGCTCATATTTTATTTTTACTTGGAAACCGAAACGAAGGATTTAACCTGATGTCTAGCAACGGTATATTCATATGTTT